ACACACACACACACACACACACACACACACACACATACACACACACACACATACACACATACACACACACACACCTTACGGTATTTTATGCAAGCTAAACTGTACAGAGATTGCAAATGCAGCCTTATTGATGCCCAAATGAATGTTTTCTTTAGAACACAGTTGTTTGTAGTAGTAAAATCCTCTGGTTAATTTCAGGAAGTCGTCATTCTTTAGGAGCGTGGCACTAAATCTCTATTCCTGTTCCAGCTAGAACTAGTTTTGAACTTTGCATTAATTTGTATTTTACAAACGTTRCCCCTAAATTTGGAAGGTGGGTGGACCATAAATGTATGATAACATAAAGAAATACTACAAAAACAAACTAGTAAATGTTTCAACCAGACTTGAGAAAAACAGACTAAAATGTTTATTATCATTGTGCTATATTTTAGCTGTTCTTTAGTTCACTTTTACTGCAATTTGTTTCATAGAGATAAAAATGTGTTTAGTTGACAGAACAATACTTTTAGTACATCAAACTTTTTCAAACATACTTTTCAAAATGGGTTTTCTAACGATATAATTAACTGGACTTATGTTTTGCTCAAGTAAAGTAAATTCCTCTACATTTATTGTATTGAACAAGTCCTTCCCTTTTAAACTCAAAAATGATAATCTTTCAGGGAATTCCCTWTTTTATTAAATAACTTAACCAAACAACCTAAAGAAATTATTCAACATTAAAGATTTCTGTATTTGTTCTTCCAGTGCTATTCAAACTGGTATGTTTTTTGTAAAGGATAATTAATGTTTAAACRTTATGTGGGGTGTGTGGGTGCAACAATAAGTTCTCAGAAAAACATGTATATGAAGAAACTCATTTCCTCCGTAGCCCACCACAGTATGTGTAGTTTTTCACTCTCAGATCCTGCRACAGGCAGAACAGTGTCACACTAAAGAACAAAGGTGTTGATTTAGAAATACAAACTAACTGAGACATTTTCCTATCAGTTTTTTATTGGCGTTTTAAGTTGGTGAGTCAGACGTGAGTCAAATTTTGATATGTGTTGTTAGAAAAACATGATTGGTAGCCTGAATAATTGTGCAAAAATATAAGTTTATTCTCTTCTAAAACTCTTTATTCTTTAAATCTCTTACTCCATTTTATTCTTCATAGCCACGATCGCCGAGCGTCTGTTTGGCCCTGAGTCTTATCAGCAAATCAAAACAAGGCCGTCTGAGCAGCAGCCCTGCATTCACCTCCCTCTTTTTTCCAGTCTTATGTATCTAAACAACAACAGGACACTGTGGGAGCGATACCTTTTATGTTACACACTGTTACATTGTCCTCATTTATCCTGTTGAGAAGGAATGCATTACATAAAAATACTGACTTTCTCACTGTTCAAAGTAAATGACTCTAGTCTAATTGATCACAAAGTGTAAAATATTAGACTGTATCTAAAATTCAGTTAATCGGTCACAAAATTTCATTCCACGTCATCTGATAACACAATAATGTTATTACTTTAATTTTTTTTAAATCTTATAGTTTATTCCTGAGTTGAGTTCACTTTCCACAAAAATATGCTTTGAAAAAGACTTTTTTTTTGTTGGTTTGTTTTTAGTCTTGAAACATGAATAACGTAATAAATTACACTGATGTTAAGTTGTGTTAAGGAATGTTTTTCTTTTCTTCTGATTTATCTGTATTTGTACAAAGTTTCCTTGCTTTCTATCTGCAAGCTTCACAAAGGCAGGAAAAGTTCAAGTCTTTATTTGTTGCTTTAGTGACATTTATCTAGTTGAGTTTGGCGTAACTAAAGCAAATAATTAAACTTTTTGTTAAAACAGAGAGGCTCCTGTGGAGGAATTAGTGTTGTTTTACTGTGTAATTCATAATAAAAGCACTAGTTTGGTTTGTAGAGTCACACTGTGAGTCATTTTTTGAAAATACTTAAGGGTGTATTCATTGGGTACCAAGATAAACATGACTGTTTCCTTTTGGGTGCACAGTTTACCTTCACCACTAGATGGCGACATTGTTTAATTTGCAAACGACCTTTTTTATTTTTTATTTATTTTTATTATTTTTTTGTCTACTGTTGGTTTAGTTACATCATCTCCCCTGATCTAAAAGTAACAATAATATATTTTATTATGTAAACTGTGTGAAAACCCAGTCACTTCCTGTTGTTTGTCTTTTTTTTTAAAAAAGCAAACACCTTTTGGAGTCATGTCTGACAGGATGGTTGGTGGGCGACGTTGCATGAAAGGTGGGATTTTTCAGAAGTGTGTGTGTATGTGTGTGTGCTTGTAGCAAAGCACTGCAGCTCTGCAGTAAAACCACAGAGAAAACACATCCCACAGGTCGCCCATTCCACGTGCTTCACACAAGCCTGACCTGCTCTTCAACACTTTCACTCTGCCCCCATTCAGTTCCCAAACCTCTTTTAATTAACATTATGGACCAACATGATACATTTTGTGGTTTTAATACAGTTGCAAATAACGTTTGTGTCAACTTTTGATGTTACTAGCTGGAAAAAAAAGATAATTTAATCTCTGTGGTTACAACCTGAACCAGGGTGTTGCTCAATATGGGCCATTTATAAATAGAAATGTTTTTTTTTTTACCCAAAAATATAAAATTTCTAAATATTACAAATGATTTTCATAAAACTATTTAATGCACAAAACTAATATTTTCCTTATTCAAATCTTTCCATTCAGACACTATGTGACATTTAGAAATTCACAGCTGTGCGGTTGTTTGTTCTGTTTTTTAAAATGAAACTTCAGATGGTTTCAGTCTGAACTGAAAGGTGCTGCTTCCTGGATTTGATGTGGGAGAGAAAAATGATCACATGATGAGTTCAAGTCAAAAAGTTTCATCCCATGTCTGCTTCACACCCAGCATCAACAACAACAACCAGATATTGTTTCTCGACTTTTTGTTTTAAACATCAAACCTGCCAAACCTTATCTTRTTTTATACATTACTCCCTGTTCCCTGTGCTGTTTTTATTAACTTACAGCATCAAGCAGACAGGCTGGTTGTGTTAAATGACTCGGTTATTCAATAAAACACAGCCAAGGAACACATGAATGACCTTAATCTGAAAAACCAACAGCACCAATGTGACTCAAGTTTCCATCCATCCATCCATCCATCCATCCATCCATCCATCCATCCATTTTCTTCCGCCTATCCGGGGTTGGGTCGCGGGGGCAGCAGCTTCTCCCGCGACCAGGGAGGCGTCCTGGACCAGGGAGGCGTCCTGGACCAGGGAGGCGTCCT